GAATGTTTTAGGATGTTTTGTTGGAACCTCTTTGCTGACCCCCCCAGTGGGTTTTCAGAGGCAATTAATCAGACAGGAGGAGACTGCCCATCCTTCTGTGGAGCAGCTGGTGGATTTGAACCATGTGCCTTCGGGATTACAGCACAGTTCCTTCCTACTGCTAGGCCATCAGAGCTCCGCACTGAGGGAATTAATGAAGGAGGAGCAACATGGAAATGATGGTAAACATGGTGGCACAACTTAAGGACATAATCAGTGTCACTGAATGATAGGTGTGTGTGACTGTTAAACTAGTGTGTTTTGCTATATAGATTTTTGACAAAAACACACAGCTTAAAAAAAAAAATCAATCCTTGTTCTAAAAGTTACCTCTCCAACCTCTCCAACTTTCCTACTTCTCACATTCCATGTTCCAATCCAGTGTTCCTCCTTTGTGATTCCCAATGAGAAGCTTCTGCCTCTGGTCCCATACCTGCTAGTCTAACCTAAATGTGCTCTATTGTACAGAGGGTTTTCTGAGGCCTGTTATTTTGGAAGTGGATGGCCAATCCTCCCAATCCCTGAGAAGAGAATTCATTAAGTAACACACATGCTTAATCTAGTATCCACCACCTCATACCTTGCCAAAGTGATAGTGGGTTAGATTCACAGGACCAGAAACAGACTAGAATTGCGTCCACTCTAATATAATCCCCCCACCGCAACATCACAGACATCGAGACTGAGCCCCCTTCTCCTCTCTGTAAAGTCATACCTTCTGCAAAAGCAATATCACTTTCTTGCCCAAACCCCATGGATCCATCAGACAACCAGAGACTCTTCTTGGACAGCAGGTACATTTCGGTGTTCAAGCTGAATTCAGCTGCCACTGGGTCACTCACCTAAGGCAAAGTGAAAAAGTCTTTGTAAGTGTCGTGGAGGGCTCTGATGGTTCCAAGACATGCCAATCATTGGGACCCACCTTCACTGTGCTCCGGCCAGGGTGGAGCATGGACACTACATGGCAATTTCCATGCCTGACCAATGAACACAGATTCTTAGGTCATTGCCTTTGTCTTTTTTTCTTTTTCTTTTCTTTAAAGGCCACCCTGGCAGGTTAAAGTATTTTCTGAATAGGAGAAAGCCCTGCTTGAGCTCATCGCCACTGGTGCCCATGGTCAATACTCTTGGTTGCTAAGCAAAGCAAAGAGATTTTTAATTCACTTGGAGGTTACTTGGAAGAAAGGCCTGGTGATCTATGTAAGAAAAATAGCCCATCTAAACAATTGAGGATCACAGTTCTCTCTGACACCTCTGGGGTTGCCATGAGTAGGCAAAACCTCAGTGGCCTTTGATGTAAGGGACTTACTAAAGGCCAAAGCAGTTCAACATGTAGTATGAATTCTTGGACCATAAATACCGTTCAAAATTCTTCTTATAGAGACGAGTAATTAGGTGCTTTGAGAAGATGTGAACTCCAGGATTCCCTTCTCCATAAAGACCAAAACCGTACAACCATGAAAGAATCTTTTTAAAGAGAAAAGTGAACTGGGGTGGGTGTAGGGAGGTAGGGAGGGAAATGTGCAACTATGAATGAATGAAAATCCAAGTTTTCTGTTTACTTTCATTTAAAAAAAATATACATATATAAAAAGACCAAAAACAAGATGCAGAAGGCTCTGGGGAAATCCTCAGATCTTCAGAAGGAGTTAAGATTTAGGTCAGATAAAAGGAAAAAAAAAAAAGAACACAAGATTCTCTAAACTCTTAAGTCTGTGGGTTTTATGTTCTGCACTAGTAGCGGTAAAAGCAATTCTTTCTTCCCAGGTGACTTGTCCTTCATTTTTCTCAGCGTGCGTGAATTAAGGAGGTCTGGTGGCACAGCTGGCAATGTGTTGGGCTGAGGTCTGCAGTTCGAATCCACCACCTGCTTTGTAGAAGAAAGATGGGCCATCTACCTCCATAACAATTTGCCCCCATAATAATTTATAGCTTTGGAAACCAACCTGAAAGTAGTGGGTTGTGTTTTTTAAACAATTTGGTCTATGAGGAAGAAACATTTTTCTTTCTTATGAAAGTGAAGGGAGCTCTGGTGGTGGAGGCAATTTCATGCTTAACCCAAGGGCCTCATCTCTCTCGTGGTTCAAATCCACCAGCAGTTCTGTGGGGAAAAGATGGGCACTCTCTCCCCATGCAATTTACAGCCTCAGTAACTCAATGGCCAGTCAGCTGTTGGTTCCCATTCGCCAGCAATAACAGAGATAAAAGAAAACCATGGCTTTAACGTGCGCACCTGCTGGAATCGGATGTCCAGGTCAAAGGTAATGGGCTCCCTGGGGTTGCAGGTGACCGGCAGACGATACTCCTGGTGTGGGGGAGTGGTGCAGGGCAGGAGCTTCACAGTGTAGGTCCCTGAGTAGTCCCGGACCTTGGACACACAACATGGGCTTGTTAGAAAGGTGGACTTGTGCTAACTGAGGGACAGGAAATTCTTCCTTTGTAAGACCGGCAATTGTCACAAGGCAAAACCACTCCTTCATTCTGACTGTATTTCTTACAGCTCAATCTCAATCAATCTCTCTCTCTCTCAATTTAGGTAACTTATTTTAACTGCAGTTTTTTTTTTAAATTTTTATTTATTTTTATTTTTTTCATGAGCTCTTTTTAACTCCCTGTGTATTTTGTCCTCGTGAGAGCTTGTATCCAGAAATAAGGATGTGGAAGCCAGGGAGCTTGCTCGCTCTTCTCCGCTCACACAGCTAGGACACCCGGTGGCGTTGTCTGCAGGGAGTCCCCGGACTCTTACCGCGAAGTCAGACACAAAGCTCCACTGCTGCACCGGCTGGTTGTAGGTGGGCTCGCTGCGCACCAGGCGGAGGGAGAACGTGAGGCCTGGGTGGTCCGCTGACACGATCATGGAGCTCGTGAAGGACGCTAGAAGAGGCACAATCACAATGGTGCTGCGTTAGTGCATTCATTCTGACTCCCGGCATCTCAGAGCAGCGCTCCACAGGGTTCCTCAGGCTGGGACCCTTCAGAGGAAGATTGCCAGGCCTTTCCACCTGGGCACCTCGAGGGAGCTTCTAACTGCCAACCTTTCAGCAAGTTGCTGAGGGCTGAACCCTGTGTGTCACTCAATAAAGCCATCATATAAGAGTTAAAGGAGTGTTTACATTGTTAAAGCACCTTCATCACGGGTTGTTTTAAGTCTTACAGTAAGTGTGCATGGAAGACATTGGTATGATTAACCTAATTGTGAAGAAGAAACAGCATTGGAAGGAGTGGTTGTGTGACTCCCCCCAGGTCACCGAGCCAGCCTCTTACCCTAACCAGGACACTTCCTAATCCAGTGTTTAAACCTCCTTCCCAGGAACTCTGGAGAATGTTCTGTGCAATTATCTCTTGACATAGGTGAGAAGGTGCCTTGTGAGAAGCAGAGCTGGGCATTACGAGCTGTGTGTGTAATGTGGGAGAATTTACTGAGCCCTGACGTGGCTAGCTGACGTCAGAATGGTCTGTCCACATCAGCACTAGCCACTAGAGCTGTCATTGTAATGCAGACAGTGAAATTTTACAAATCACTAATACACTATTCTTTAAAAAAAGAAAGATCAAATCCACCAGATGCTCCACTGGAGAAGGAGTGGCAGTGTCCTCCTGTGACTGTTGGATCTGACTTGACGGTACACAACAAGAAAAGGGGGGAAAAAACCAAACCAAAACAACAACAAAACAAAAAGGAGAAAGAATTTAGGTCTGAGCTCTGTTGACCTTACTATGTAGGAATCCTGGCTGGTGCAAGCAGTTCCATGCTCGGCTGCTGATTGAAAGGTTGGCAGTTCAAGACCACCCAGAGATGCCCCAGAAGCAAGAACTGCTGATCCACATCTGAAACATCTGCCACTGAAAACCCTGGGGAGGGTTACCATGGATTGGAATTGACTTGAAGACAGTGGGCCTGGGTTTGGTTTGGGACATCAATACATCCAAACACCTACATCAGAGGAGGAGGTGTTAATGGGCAATGCAAACAACAATACCTGGATGTGACAGCACAAACAAGCCATGGAATTGAGCCTCTGTCTTGAAGTTCACCACCAAGCGCCCCTCCTCACTGAGGCGCATGCTGGTTGGGTAGAGAGAACCTGCAATGGGAATGAAGATTAGATGACCAGGGCCTCTCATCCACAGATTCCTCATCTTAGATATTCTCAGCATCGTGTGATTAAAGCAGAGTTTTACCTATCCATTCATTTGTTGATGGGCAGTTGGGTTGCTTCCATCTCTTTGCTATTGTGAATGATGCAGCAAGAAACATGGGTGTGTGAAATACTATGCAGCAATGAAAAGCAAGGAACTTATAAAATATTACCCAGCGTGGGGGGACCTTGGAGGACAGTATGCTGAGTGAAGTATCTCAAGTCACAAAATGATAAATAATGCATAACACTACTGTTACAGAACAGGACTGATGTGAGGTTGGGGGGGGAACTAAGAAAAGAGGGATAAATAATGAATACTGCTTTGGAACAGATGAAGGAAAGAAATGTTTAAAAGGAATATGTGATTAGGCATTATATGTACAACAACAGCCCAGAATAAGAGGTCTATTGCAAAGAGTACTTGGGAAAGAGGGGAAGGGAGGTAATTGTGCAACAATGAATTAATATTAAAAAAAAGTAAACTGGGGGAGGGGGAAGAGAGGAAGAGGAGGTAAAATGTGCAACAATGAATGAATGAATAACTTTTCTGTAAACTTTCATTAGAGTTACAATTAAAAATGTTATTAAAACATTCTCAGCAAAGGATGTTATTCAAAGAACTGCAAATGATAATAATTAGAGGCAAAAGTACTTTTCCTTTCTAAGGGGCAGAAGGAGAAAAAACAGAATCATGAATGAGGTCTTTATGAAATATATGGCTTGGAATATAATTAAGAGTAGGATGAGCTTTTTAAGCTCTGAAAACCAAAGTTGGGAATGGAGGACAGCTATTACCATAAAGTCTCAATCACAGATTTTGGATATGTAGAGAGGGTTAAACCAGGCTACTCCTTGGAGGCAAGGATTCTGGGGCTTCGTCTGATATACTTTGGACATGTTGTAAGGAGGGACAGGTCTTTGGAGAAGGACATCATGCTTGGGAGGGTGGAGGGACGGCGCAAGAGGGGAAGACCTTCTATGAGGTGGATTGATTCAGTGACTGGGGTAATCGGGATGGGTGAGTCAGAGGCAATGCGATTGGCACAGGACAGAGCAGGGTTTAGGGCCGTTGTACATAGGGTCGCTATGAGTCGCAAATGACTCGATGCCACATAACAACAACAACAAGATGGGAAAGGGGTTTGTGTTGTGCAATCTAAGGGTGAGAGTGAAGTATCACCACTGGCTTTATACATGTAGAGGCATACAGAAAATTTTGATGACTTCCCAAGAAACTCAGCAGGTTGACAAAATCTGGCTGTATTCCAAATCTAACAAGCAGCATACTCTTATGCTGGAAGTTGAAATCACAAAGAAGATTCACTCAAATGTACATTGTATAATGCAAGATAATGGGATATGACCCTTTGAAATAACATGGAGAATTATTCAGGGTGAGCACAGAACATTTCAGGCGGTCATAGTTAGTCAAGTTGAGTAAGACGCGTGGCGACCCTATGAACAACAGATCTGAACCTTGTCCTGTCCTTGCCATCCTCCTCATTTTTGATACACTGGAGCCCACTGGCTGTAGTCTCTGTGTCAATCCACCCGGCTGAGCTGCTTCCTCTCTTTGCTGACTCTGTACTTTAACAAGCATAACATCCTTCTCTAAGGAAGACCCTCTGCTGACAACATGCCCAGAGTATGCGAGACGGAGCTTTGGTATCTTCGCCTCCAAGGAGCACTCTGGCTGTACTTTCTCCAAGATATTTCTGTTTGCTCTTTTAATACTTTGTGAAATATTTCAGTGTTGGCCAATTCTTTTTGGTACAATGACTCTGTATACTCCCTCCATCTTCTTTTAATGTTTCCTGGATCATTCAATATTTTATCCATAGCATCTCTGTCAGCCCAGTAACTTGAGACTTGAATTTGTTTGCAGTTCTTTGATTTTGAGAAATGTTGAGCAAGTTCTTCCCTTTTAATTCTCCAACTCCAGCCCTCTACACATCCCATTTTATCACTTTGCTTTGTCTTCTCAAGCTTCTCTGGGAAAGAAATCTTCTATTCTGCTCTTTTACTTCAGTGTCTCTTCCCTTTGTTTTGGCTTCTTGACACCCCTTTGCAATTTTCAGAGTCTCTGATAGTCATTTTGTGTTGTTTTTTTCTTTTTCTCCTTTCTCTTCTGTCTTTGAAATGATCTTCTGCTTTCTTCATGGATAATATTCTCAATTTCATCCTACAGCTCTTCTGGTCTTCAGTCACTGGTGTTCAATGCCTCATACCTCTTCTTAAGACGACTTGTAAATGCAGATGGGATAGACTCTAAGTTGTATTTTGGTTTTCGTGGACCTGTTTTCTTTGGCCTCAATTTGAACTTGCAGATGAGTAGTTGATGGTGTGTTACACAGTCAGTATCTGACCTGGTTTTGATCGATGATGTTGAGCTTCTCCAATGATTCCTTCCATAGTTGTATTCAATCTGATTCCTATGCAGTTCACCAGGCAGGGTTCATGTGTAAAGTTGCTAATTTTTTTAAAAATGGTACTGGCCAAATATTATTTGAAGTCTCTGGCTTTCTTTTTTACCCTGTTGGAGAAGTTTTTTGATGTTCATAGGGCTTTGATTTTTAGAAGGTCTCATTCATCTATTTTATCCTTTTTTGGTTGGTGGGTTTTCCTTATGCCTGGAAATTTATTCATGCCACCGATTAGGGCTTCAAGAATGGTTCCTAGTTTTTCTATGGTGAGCTTAATAGTCTTTGGTTTTTCTCCTAGGACCCCAGTCCACCTTGAGTTGGTTTTTGTGTATGGTATGAGGGGTGGATCTTGCCTGAGTACTCTGCAGATGGTTTTTGAACATTGTCAGCACCATTTCTTTAAGAGGTTTCCTCTCTTAACTGGTGACATCTGGTAAGGGACTCATAGAATACTCCAGCACTTCTACAAGAAAAAGGTAAACAACCCAATCTCAAAATGGGCACAAGATATGAACAGACACTTCACCAAAGAAGAAATTCAGCCGGTCACCAAACACATGAAAAGTAATAAAAATCCCTAGCTATCAAGATATGTAAATAAAAATAACAATGAGATAGCATCTCATCACAGCAACAATAGCAAAGTTTAACAAGATAGCAAACAACAAATGCTGTAGAGGATGTGGAGAGATTGGAACTCTCATTCATTGTTGGTGGGAATGTAAAATGGTACAATCACTATGGAAGGTACTCAGTCTGGTGCTTTCTCAAAAAAGAAACAGAAATACTACCTGACTCGGCTACCCCACTCCTGGGAGTATACCCTAAAGAAACTGGAGCTGTGATGCAAGCAGATGTATGCACATCTGTGTTTATTGCAACATTATTCACAATAGAAAAGACATGGAAGCAATCCAAGTACCTGTTAACAAATGAATGGATCAAAAAACTGGTACATACACACAATGGAATATTACACAGCACTGGCAGACAATGAAATTGTAAAACAACGTCTCTTTTCAGCAGGAAGTAGCTAAGAGAATACGTCATCCCCTTTTCCTTATTAATCAGTGTGAAGTCTCTCTCAGGGAGGAGTGATAGGGAATGGCAAAGGGCACACTGACAAAGGAGATTAATCAGAACTGGCTTTGACAAGCACTGTGGCAATTGGACAATTAAAACAGACATTTGAGGGGGAGAAGAACGAAC